GATATACTTCGTAAAGAGGGGAAAGAAATAATATTTATTGAATGCTTACATGGTGCCACATGCATAGCAGGGCCACCTAAATCTCACAACAACCCTATAAAGCATATCTTATTATCTCAAATTTTCAGTGAAAGAAACTAAAGTCCTAGGAATGAATGTAATTTTTTCCAAGGTCAGTAAGGAAATTTGAGATGGCTGAAGAATCCCTATCATCTGTCAGTTGTCAAAGTCTGTCCACTACATCCTTCTATTTTATCTCAAAAGGGAATGTTCTTCTCTAAGATAGTACCACAAAGGGTAATAAATGAAAAAAATTTTTAGGCGTGTAGCCCGAAGAATGTTGCCAGGAGGTGTTTTCTTTGGTGGTGTGCTGAGGAAAATTTGGTTGAAATGAAAATAGTTTCCCAGATATCAAACTACTAATTTGGGTGCTGCTTCCATAGGAATAATGAGAAAATTTGGACCTTGGAATTCAACTTTTGAATTTATTAATTAGTCAAATGAATACTTCTGAGCTTCATAGCTAAGAGCTTATATATTCAAGCCAGTCTGCCCCCATTTAAATCCTAATTCTACCAGGAACTACCTGCATAGTCTGGAAAATTCACTTAAAAAATGTCTGGAGATTATGAAGGATATAAGTTATTATTCATGAGTGTAAAAACTTTGTTACATGATAAGAACAAAATACATCTACAATTACTACTACTAATATTTTAATACTTGGAGGAAACACCCTCTGGTGCTGGTTCTTGGATGGAAGGAATTAGTTTAATATAGGCATCTTTCTACAAAGTAGTGAAGTTGATTTTAGCCTTGGCTAATCTGCAGAATGTCTAGAACGAAATGTCTAGAAAGAAAGAACACAATAAAGTAGATAACACGGTACAGCAGAAATCATAGGTCCAGAAAAGAGAGTAAATGCCTAAGGGGGAAGTTGTAGGAATAAGCAAGTAATAGATAAATTTTAAGGTACTTATTAAAAACATTAAGAGTAATTTATATAGAATAGTTGATTTGGTGAGACATAGTCTTAAAATGAATACCAAAAATAAACTTCTGAGCGTTTATAGGCAAAAAACTCTGAGTTTAGAAATTTAGGAGGGAAGCAAAATAAGTCCATCTACCCTCCCCTGTTGAGTGTCAGAAGACAGAGAAGCCTGGCCATCTGGCACACTCTGGAAGCCTGTGCAAGGACCCATGATGGACTGCCTCCCCAAAGAAATCATGTTCAGTGCTTATTTTTGTAACTTTCCTAAAGTGGGGAGTTAAATAAGACCCCCTCAAAGTGTTGCCACAGCAATGCATCAGCACTGATGGAAACTACAGTTAAGAATCTTGTTCACAGCATGGAAAGAAAACCACCAACTCCCCAAATGTGATTTAATGGAGGCTTATTTTTCCTTTGGTGAACTACATATTACACAGAGAAAAAATCTTGAGCTTTAGCATAATTCAATACCCAAACCGATTATGCAAAAATCAAACAGTGGCCCTAATCATATTTTAATGATTTATTCTTGTCCTTATTTTACTACATATGTTCTGTGATTGGAGCAGAGGCTTGATTTGTATTCATACTCTATGAAGAAGTAAAGACTTTATAACATGCAAGCTATTTTCAGAACCCTGAATTTTTAGGACCCAAAGGAACTTAAACATCTCTCATTGTCTTCTTTTTCATTCTTTGTGACTTGTTAAAAATATCATTACAAACTTTTGGTGCACATCCGATCTTCATCCCTTATAATTAAATTGTACACTATTTAATCAAATTGAAAATCACATCTTTGGGCTCAGCATCTAGTATCCATCCATAGTACAAATAGCATGGCAGTTATTTTTGTGAAGATAATGTATTCAGTAAGAACCACTCACTCTGGTCATAGAAATCTACTTATTTTGTTCAAAGATTATGAATGCAAATGTACATATTTCGATGAGCACATATACTACTATAGGACAATTTTAGAGCTTAAATAACATAATTCATAAAGTACTTAATTCTGAGAAAACACATATGAGCTTATTGTGAATTATGACTCCAAGGGAGGTGGAAATACAATTTTTGTGAAGTTACGTAAATAACACCATGTCATAAATTGCATTGCCATAATTTGTATAACTTGCAAAGATTGCAAATATCATTATTTCCATTGAAAAAATAAAAAATAAAATAATATAGTAACTCAAAACATTTTTAGTGTGAGTCCTAGTTCAACTTTTGTTAATTGAAATATATCTAAGTAAGTCATGGAAACAGATATTATTGAGAATCTCTTATTGAGAATCTATTATTACCTGAAAAATCTGGAGAATCAAATTTCGTACTTTCTATAGCCTTAAATGCATTTTAAAAATACACATTATACATAGCAAAAATATATATTTACTATATACTTACCATCAATAACATGGATTATATTAATATAGTCAATTAATGATAATGATAAAAGTAATAAAAGTACTATTAAAAATAATAGTGTTAACTATTCATAGATACCTATAATATCAATAATTTATATTAATTCTTTAGAATAATAAAAGTATAAAATATTTCAGATTATATTTTATACCAATATAAAATATAATTTTAAATTTATATTAATATCACTAAGAATTATAATCTTTACATTCTGTTTTCTTACCCCCCTTCTTTTTAGACCCCTTCTTCCCCATCAAAAAATAATCATTGCCTTCAGATAATACTTAGAGCAAAAGTTTGTGCAATAGAGGTGCACAGGTACTGAAAGTGGTGTATTGAGTGGTCATTACAGACAAATTACTGCCTTAAAAGAAATCACCTGAAAAGTTAAGGATGTTGCTGGGTGTCCCTAACATTTCTTGCTACTTTTCCATAATATTTAAGAAATGTTTCTATTATAATTGTCATAATGTAAAAATAAGTGTTGTTTCATATTATTCTGCCTCATAAACAGATTTATATTACATAACTGGGGTATATTATGAATTATTTTATTTACATATTTACTAATGGTATATTTATATGACATTAATATCATTAATGTCATTTATATTATTAAATGAAATATTATCTGTTTATATGAAGATGATTTTATGTATATTACATTCAGGATATATTTAAATTGCAATATAATATACTATTGAATTACAATAGTATATTATATTAGTAATAAAAACTTATTTAAAAAACTTATTTAACATAACTAGTAGCTTTGATGACTTAATATGCCTAACAATTTTAGAGTTAAAAAGTATTTACAATGAACTTAAAAAAATTTACATTGTTAGACTTGCACATCGTGTAATATTCTTAGTATACTATTTTGCAAATTTGGAAGTTAAGAAAAACTACAGAATATCACATCATGTTGTTTAGTGAGATTTATTGTTGATGAAATTGCATTAGGAAGAACAGTGATTCTTTTACTAAAAATGTAATGATTGCTAATGTAATATATTCTTTCTGAAAATCAAATTATTGTTGTATAAAACAGAAAATAATCATAGTATTTTGAGATTAAAAGTACTGACATAATATATTGAAATGATTTCTTTCATTTCATGGAAATTAAAATATAGCACTTTTAAAATAAAAACGACTGCTTATAAAAGTAAAATACAAAACAATGTTAGCCTTAATAAATCACGTACCAGGAATCTAAACACATACCAGGACTCATTGTAACTGCCTTAATATGCCTATGGATTGTAAAAAATATACATGATCACTCTCTCTGCTGAGAAACAAAATAAAGAAAAAAATAAAAGGATAAAAGGAGAAGACTGAAAATACAAATGGATGTTATTTCAAAATGACATTAGAACCAAATGTGCTAATGAAACAACAGAAATCACTATCACTGGGCATAAATTTGCACCAATTACTTAAACTGTGAGAATTATTTCTATATTTAATCCACAAATAATATACCTTTGAAGATCTACTTTTTATGAAGTATTTGAATAATTTTTCTCTGCAAAGACATCAAATACTAGTAGTTTTTTCTCCATATAGTAATGTTCCAGATATACCATTATGTTGTTCTTATTTTTCTCTCTCGTAGTAATCAATAAAATTGCATAAAGAAAATGTTGTTATATCCCAATTAAAAATAATGCATTGTATTTGTTAGCTAGCTGGTAGAGGAAGTTATTCTTTGAATATTCATGGGTTCTATTTACTACATATGTATTCCTAATTTTTAAAGAATTTTATTGCTGTAAATAAAGTATATTAAATACTAGATATGTACTGTACTGAATTTTATATTTTAAGGATTTAAAAAGTACTTATCTCAAAACCATCATTTCAAAATTGACTTCTTACTATGGATATTTCTTGAAGGTCTCACTTCCTTAGATAGAGATCTTTTGCACATGAGCAGTTTTAACTGTCTTCTCTGTGTAAAATATTTCCACATCAATATATTCTATCTTGATCTTTATTACAAGCCTAGTCCTGCATTTCTAACTGCCAAGATTTCTTACACTTAAAATTTAACATAAATTCCTCAAATGACAATCATCATTATTATCCCATAAAATATGTTCTCATCCAGGGAAGTTGATCAAGGATGTCATTTTAAGCTGAACTTTGAAGACCAAGAAGTGTACCACAAGTGGAGGAGAGTCAAAAAGACATTCCAAAAGTGAGAAAAACAGAACTACAAAGATAAATGGGATAAATCAGTTATTAAAAGTAAACAGCATATTTAAAAACATGTTTGGGATTTTGTGTAATTTAGACTGTCTCTCATGCTTTCCCAATAGCCTACTAAAATAGAGTTTGAAAAAAAATAGAGTTTGAAATTGCATACAATTTATCTTAAACTGTAGTGCAAGCTCTTTAAATAATGCGTGTGTATGTGTGTGTGTGTGCAGCAAAAAGAACTACACTCACTTTTAAAGCTCTAGTCTTCATGTACTGGTTCATAAATTTGAAGCAGGATCATCTAGTGCCATCAGAACTCTTCCTAAGAAATTGTTTGCTAGTTCTTAGTTTTAGGGAGGGTATGAGTAGACAGTTCAGAGAAGACCTGGACAAAATACCCAAACAAACAAACAAACAAAAAACCCAGCAGTTCAAAATTACTACTCAACAGGCAAATTTTAAAAATCAAGTACACACTCAATATGGTATTATAGTCTTCAGAGAGGCAGTAATTAGAATTATTAATTTAACATTCTTTTCTGGCATCTATAGGAGGAAAAGGAATTTATATATATAATGGTACAACTTGGATGGGTTGTTGCTTTTCAGAAGGAAATTTGTTCGTATTTCTTAAATATTTAATAAAATTAACATGTTAATAAGATCATATTGTGTTGGGGCACCTGGGTGGCTCAGTGGGTTAAAGCCTCTGCCTTCCGCTCAGGTCATGATCCCAGTATTACGGAATCGAGCCCCACATCGGGATATTTGCTCAGCAGAAAGCCCGCTTCCCTTCCTCTCTCTCTGGCTGCCTCTCTGCCTACCTGTGATCTCTCTCTGTCAAATAAATAAATAATTTTTTTTAAAAGATCATATTATGTTATTAATAATATATAATATCACATTATTATGTGATATATATGTTGGGGTTAATGTCGAGCACGAAATTGTCTGTAATACCTGCTTGCTAAAATGTAACAAGGAGGCCACTGGAGCAAGGGAAGATTTCAGAGAAGAGCGTGGGCCTTTGGAACGCTAAGGCCTGGAAGACTACTCTGCCTTAGGAATGCTTCTGGGGCATTCTCTTCGGGGAAGTTGCCTTTGGGGTAAGCTTTTTTAGCGAAAACGGCGTGCGCACGCACACACACGCACACACACACACACCCCCAGTGATGTAAGAGTTGTATGTGTTGTCCCTTAGGCTCTGTTTAGCAGGCATGCAGATTAGCATATTTTATCTTTTCTGTAAACAGATCCACCCAACTTCAGTAAGACCCTTTGTCACACAGCACTGTGCTTGAGAAACAGTGATATGGACTTGTGATTATCCTGAAAGACCATTTAAGGTGGGAGGAAAGGAAGAGCAAAGGGTCTTGTCTCTGAGCATTGACCCCCTTGCCTTTTCCTCTCTTTCACAGCAAAATCTGGAGTAATCTTTCACCCATCCCTATAGGAATTGCTGGCCATTCCCAGCAAAATACATATAAAATTGTTATGTGATTATATATATAATTTCCTGGGACCTGGAAATCTCATACATGGGAACTATCACATAGAGAGAATCCTGATATTCAGGGATCCGTGTAGAAAGATATTTATTGAAGCACTATTTAAAGATCTAAAAACTGGAAAGTCTCTCACTCCTACTATCTAGCTTGAGAATCCAGTAATAGAAATTCTAGAGATTATTTTCTCTCACTCTCTCAATTTAAAGCTCAAGAAATGAAGATGACACACAGCTGGTAATTTGCTCAGTCATCTGGAATAGAAATACATTGACACACAGTTTCATTTTTACTGAAAAGGAATTTATGTACTAACATAAAATTCTCTTTTCAGAATTAATCTCTGAAGGTCGATGAGACATGTTCTCTAAGGATTCTTATCAGCATGCTCTATAAGAAGAAGAGAGGATGTTGAGGGGGGGCAGTGTTTCCTTAGTGTAAGAAAAAGCATTTATTTTTCATACTGAATTATTAAGATGCACAGATCATGCTTTCAGAAAAGAGCAAAGAATAAACATTTTTATAATAAACACTTTATTATAAAAATAATATAGTCTTAATTAGGAATTTTGAAAAATGCAACAACACTAGGAACACATTTTTAAATATCATTTAATGATATTTGATTAGAGATAACATCACAGGTAATTACTGCTAAAATGCTGTTAATGTATGTTTGTATGTTTTATTTAAAAATGGCCTCATGTGCTGTCTACCAAATTTTTCAATAAATTCTGAACATTTCTTCATGCCATTAAATACTTTAAATATTTTGCATGAATAGTGACATAGTATTTTATTGAGTAACTGAAGTTGATTTATTTATTAAATAAATTATCAATATTTGAAATTTGACCTTTTCCCAAAGGAATTCCCAAGAATACATTGCACCTATCCATTATTTAGTCAATAAGTATCCATAGAGGGGCGCCTGGGTGGCTCAGTGGGTTAAGCCTCTGCCTTCGGCTCAGGTCATGATCTCAGGGTCCTGGGATCGAGCCCCGCATCGGGCTCTCTGCTCAGCAGAGAACCTGCTTCCTCCTCTATCTCTCTCTCTGCCTGCCTCTCTGCCTACTTGTGATGTCTCTCTGAAATAAATAAATAAAATCTTAAAAAAAAAATCCATAGAAATAAAATTTAAGATGAGAAATCCAGGTTGTGTAAGTTTCTTTTGTTTAGCTTTTGTTAATTTTAGTTTTCTAATTGTTTAGGGTATTATTTATTTTTCCTTGCTTATTATTAAATAATAATGTGTTAGCAATTTGATAAATGAAATGGATAAATCATTATTTTATTTTGCTATGTCCTGAGATTGAACACTTTATTTTTTTTTTAAGGATTTTATTTATTTATTTGACAGAAAAAGATCACAAGTAGGCAGAGAGGCAGGCAGAGAGGGGAGGAAACAGGGTCGCTGATGAGCAGAGAGCCCAATGCAGGACCTCAGAACCTCCAATCCCAGGGACCTGAGATCATGACCTGAGCCAAAGGCAGAGGCTAAACCCACTGAGCCACCCAGGCACCCTGAGATTGAACACTTTAAAGTAATATATTTATTAGTAGCTGATCTGTGCTTCTTGTAATTTTATTTTTAGTAACTATTTTAGGCCCTCTACAATATTTCATTCTTATTTTAAAGTCTAGAATTCATGTTGGTTTTTTTTTTCTTTCCATTTAAGAACTCACATACTCTCTTTTCTTGACATTGGTGTTTGTCTAGTATTTTTTAAGAATCATATTTTCTTTCTTTCTTTCTTTCTTTTTTTTAAACAAGGAATAAGAGAAGTTCCCTAGCCTTCAGAAACTTTTATTATTTTGAAGAGTCAGAGTTTTGTTGTTGTTGTTGTTGTTTTGTTTGTTTGTTTTTAAAGATTTTATTTATTTGACAGAGAGAGATCACAAGTAGGCAGAGAGGCAGGCAGAGTGAGAGGGGGAAGGAGGCTCCCTGCTAACCAGAGAGCCCGATATGGGGCTCTATCCCAGGACCTTGAGATCATGACCTGAGCTGAAGGCAGAGGCTTTAACCCACTGAGCCACCCAGGTGCCCCTTCTTTATTCTTAATGAATTATTTTGTCTTCATAATTCAGATATCAATCCCTTGCATTCATTTTGCCGTTTATTTTCTCCTGGCTTCAGAACACTACTTAATTCATATTCATGATTTGATGATAAGCAACATTTTATCCTATAGTTTACTCATGAATTTAGCATTGGCCACAATTTCTGTATTTCAATGTAATATTGTGTTTAGTTTATTTTATTACTATTTTTTAGTATTGTGTTTATTTTTATATGTCTACATACTTTAATTTTCTGCCTAAAACAAGAGTTAAATAATATAAAATGCTCTTTTCTCCACATAACTCATTATGTCTCATTCTATATTTTTGCTGTAGTTTGCCGAATAAACACATATCCATTCTTTGCATTATACATGTTATTCTTGTAATTTTTTTTTTTCTGTTTAAGAGAAAAGATTGTCAAATTGCATCAGTCAGTGTTTCTGTCCTGGAAAACACACACACACACACACACACACACACACACACATTCTAGAAATTTTAAGTAGGAAAGGAATCAATAGCCATGATTAACTGCTCACAAAATTATGGGAGCACTTGGAGGATCAAGGATTCATGCTGACCCTGAAGGACTATGTGAACATTTTCATCGTGATTATTAATGTATGACTCTGATTCAGAACCACTCAAATCAAGCATTAAATCATAGTCAAGGATGTTTTCTGGATACACGAACTTTCTGTGATGCTGGAAAGCTTATGTCAGAGGTCTTTCTCCAGTGGGCAGTGCCTCTTTTCTCTCCCCATGAGAGATGCGAAAGGAGTGGTGTCTACGTTGTTATCCAGTCCGGTTTGATACTGATATTTTCCTTATATGTAAATGTGTTAAATTCATGTCAAAACCAAGTATTTATGGAAATCTTGAGTATATGAAGGATGTGGCATTTCTGAATTTGGTAATAACCTACCATGCAGAAGAAGAGACACCAAGAGTTTCATGTTTTCCCATGAATCTGTGAGCTAAGGAAAGTTCTGCTTAGTGGAGTGCAGTGGTTCCCACTCTTCTCATCAGTCTTGGATCTCACAATCAGTCTTGTGGGTTTAATTAAGTAATTTAGTTAGACATTTTGGAAGTGTGCATATGTGCACATGTATGGATCTCTTTATATCTATTAAGAACAAACTAAGCAAAGAATAAAACCAGGGTTTTTTTTTTTTCTTTTCCTTAAACTCTGTAAAAAACACCATACTGACTCCAGTAAAGAAACATATGCAAAAAAAAAAGGGTAATCCCTTCCATAATTGAAACACGCAGCAGTTTAAACCAAGAAATATAACTGTGTATAATATATATGAGGGACAGAGAGAGAGAGAAAGCAACGACTTTTTAAAGAAGAAAGAGCTTAATAAAATTATTCCTAGATTAACTTTATAAATTGAGTTTGAGTTTGCAATTGTCTGATTTTCTTCTCTCCCATTCTCTCTCACATATGGCATACACAAACACACATACTTACCCCCCTTATAATTTCATTAAAACTTCTCACTTTTCTATTCATTGTCGTTACCTATGTGCCTCATATGGAGTCTGGGGTTTGAGATAGTTCCATCTAGTCTGTGTATCTCTATCTCAAAGTGAACTTTTCTCCAGAACTCATGAACCCAAATGCAATGCATTCCATACACACTTCCCCGAATATAAACCACTCATACCTGCAGAAACTCTTGCCATTGAGTGTTGCTTGATTCCATGATAATATGTTAAATACTTTTTGAGCTGGGTATGTGCACATAATAGAATGAAAAACATCAAATTAATGGGTGAAAGATGGAGCTTGTGGACTGCATATCCAAGGTTG